GAGGGAAGATGAGGGAGAGGAAGAGAGAGAGGAGGAGGAGGAGGAGGAGGAGGAGGAGGAGGAGGAGGAGGAGGAGGAGGAGGAGGAGGAGGAAGGTGCGGCCTCGGCGCGTGACCCTGCACGTTCACGCCCCAAGGCGCTGCCGCTCCCATGTTCGCATCCTCCACCTGTTCCCCCACACCGTCTCAAGGAATCCCTGATGTCAATCCTTCGACCCTCAATCCTTGAAGTCTCTGGAAGTCATTCGTCCTCTTTCTTCTCCTCCTCCTCCACATTCTCTATGCTCTCCAAAACTGACAGTTCTTCAATAATTGAGGTTCAACAAGGGCTCCTGGACCCCCCCCCCCAAGGCGATGCCGAAACGAGGGCCCCAGTCTTGAGTAAAAGGTGGGGAAGAATCAAACGGGAAAGACGAGGGAGGACGGAAGGGGAAGGGAAGAGGGAGGAGGGAGGCAGGAGGAGGGAGGGAACAAAGGGGAGGAAAAGGGAAAAGATGAGGGAGGAGGGAGGAGGAGGGAGAAAAGAGGAACGGGAGAGGAGGAGGGGGGAGGGAGAAGAGGAGGGGTGGAAGGATGAAGAGGGAAGGAAGAGAGAGGGGGGGAAGAAGGTGGAAATGAGAGGAGGAGGAGGATAAGGATGAAGAGAGATGAGGAGGGCGGACTACGAGGAGGAAAAGGGGGAGGAGGAGGAGAAGGGGAGGAGGAGGACGATGAGGATGGAAAAAAGGCGGAGGTGAGGGGAGAGAGGGAGGAGAAAGGGAGGGAGGATGGGGAGGAAAAGGCAAACAAAAAACGAAGTAGGGAGGAGGGAGGAAGGAAGTTGGAGGGGGTGGAGGAACGGCAGAGGATCAGGGAGGCAGGAGGAGGAAGGAGGAGGTAGGAGGAGGGGGAGGAAGAGGAGGAGGAGGAGGGAAGGAGGGAGGGAGGAGGACGAGGAAAAGAGGAAGAGCAAAAAAGGGCGCCATCAGCGTAAAACGGGACGAAGTCTCAGGCGGGAACGCTGTTTTTATCGGGGCCTCGGAGGCGGACTGCCGGCGGCGAGCAAGAGCACCGCCTTGAGTGAAACAAGGGAAGAAATCTCGAGCGGGAGCGTTGTTGTTGCTGGGGGGCGGCGCCGATGAGAGAAAGAGTAGCGCGCCTGTCCAAGGCACAACGGGAGGAAGTCTCGAGCGGGAGCGCTTGTTTTCTGTTGAGACGGCTGTTTTTGGCGGCGAGCAACTGCACCGGCCCTGAATAAAAAAAGGAAGACGTCTCGAACGGGAGCGTTGTTGTTGTGTTGGGAGGCTTTTTTGTGGCGGTCCCCCCAAACAGCGGGCGGCATGGCGAGAAGCGCTAGGGCCTCTGGAATTCCAACTAAAATAACTGTTAGTAATTAACGCGCCCAACCTCTTTTAACCACAACCACGAACGTAACACACAACTGCACCAGCCAATCACCGAACTGGACAAAACGTCAGACAGACGGAGCCCTACATGTCAAAGCAACAGCAACAACGCAATAAGCATAATCCTCAACACGGATCCGCATTTGAGCCACGCACCCAGGGACAATGAATAACCGCTCAGCCCCCTCACTCTGATTAATAGTTTTGTCATTATCATTGCTACTATTGGTAGTATTCGTATTACTAATGGTATTAGTATAATTAATACCATGCTTATTAGGATTGTCAGTTTTATCATTATTGGTATACTTACTAATACTAGTATAAGTATTACTACTACCGTGAATAGTATTAGTATTCGGCATCGTCGTCTTCTTCATAATATCACGAATAATAATTCTCATGTGCTGTATCATTCGTCGTCTTCTTATTATTGTTATTATGCAGTAGCGTTATGATGCTGCTGAATATACTAGTAGTGTCCGCACTCGCATTGGCAATTGAATCATTTGTTGTGTTGAGTTCATTTGTTCTGTTCTTGGTATTAGCATTACTATTAGCATAGTACAATTTATGTTATGGTGACTGTTCAATGTGTTCGTCATCTTCTTCTCCGTGTGTTTCTTCTTCTGGCTGGATTCCTTCATATTTTTCTTCGTATTCCTCCTCCTCCTCATCATCCTGCTACTGCTCCTGCTCCTCCACCTGCTCCTCCTCCTCCTCCTCTTCCTCCTCCTCCTTTTCCTCCTCCCTTTCCTCCTCCTCCCCGTCCTCCTCCTCCGTCCTCCGTCCTCCGTCCTCCGTCCTCCGTCCTCCCTCCTCCCTCCTCCCTCCTCCGTCCTACCTCCTCCGTCCTCCTTCCTCCGTCCTCCTCTTCCTCCGTCCTCCCTCCTCCGTCGTCCGTCCTCCGTCCTCCGTCCTCCCTCCTCCCTCCTCCATCCTCCCTCCTCCCCTCCTTGGGCGGTTTGGAAACTTCGTACAGGAAAGCCAAAGCATCAGTTCCTGGTCCCGACTGTTTCTCTGGCAAGATTGTTGCCTCGTTTGCTGTGGAGCTGGCCAGATACATGTACCCGATCTCGGTCCAGGCTACGGTTCGCGTTGCTGGGCCCACTCAGTGGAAGGGCGACTTTTAAAGGTCCCTCTTCAAATCTGGGGACGTGTCTAAGCACGCTTGTTACCGTTCCATCTTGGGCTCATCCCAGTTCGGCAAACGGCATCGCAGCATCATCCGAGGGGATAGTATTCCGGCCCTAGAGGCTGTCGCGGGGGAGCGTCAGTACGGAGGACTCCCAGGCAGAGGTACAGAATTTGGGGCTCTTGAGCTGCGTCTGTTTCAGCAGCTGGCCGAGGCACGCAAGGCATCAGTATTGCTAGTATTTCTTGAAGTGGTACAGGCATACTACAAGTGCGTGTGGGAACTAGTCATGCACACGGCGTGTGATGATGTTTCGTTGGCGTTGCTGTTGAAGGCAAGCAGACCTCCGCCAGCTGCTATGGCAGAGTTGCAGGAGTCAAGCAACATCCCCCTCTCCTCGTCTCCAGTGGAGTTGCCCCCCTCCGTCGCGCTCAGATCGCCGATGCATACAATGGGTCATGGTTTGTGTACCTAACGCTTCTAAGGTTGCGTTTCTCATGGTGGGCTCGGGTCCTGGACAGCAGCTCGGGGACGTCGTTTTCAACTTCGTCATGTCGTCGACGATGCAGTCGGTGCTATCTCGCCTCCTACCGCTCGGCATTGTGCTACGCATCCCGACGGCTGCGTCAAGCAACATCCCCCTCTCCTCGTCTCCAGTGGAGTTGCCCCCCTCCGTCGCGCTCAGATCGCCGATGCATACAATGGGTCATGGTTTGTGTACCTAACGCTTCTAAGGTTGCGTTTCTCATGGTGGGCTCGGGTCCTGGACAGCAGCTCGGGGACGTCGTTTTCAACTTCGTCATGTCGTCGACGATGCAGTCGGTGCTATCTCGCCTCCTACCGCTCGGCATTGTGCTACGCATCCCGACGGCTGCGCACGCTTCGCTCGCCAAGTTTACTGCTGAGGACACCCCCACCCGCACGGCTCACTATCTCGAAGGCGCTTTCTTTGACGACGCCGTGTTTTTGTTATGCACGGCAGAGCTCAGTTGTTGCTTACCATCGCCCCGATATTGGCGGCAGAAGTCGCAGATTCTTTTTGCGGAGAAAACCAAGGTTGGTAAATCGGCGTTTCTTTTCCAGTTTCGGGGCCCTGGGGCCACGCGTGCAAAGAAGACCCTGTGGTGCAATTTAGGCGGCATTTTCCAGGTCCCTACGGAGAAGGCGGGAACCCTTCACATCCATGCGGTTCATCAGTACACCCACCTTGGTACTACACATGACGATTATTGTTCCAGGGGCCCCGAGTTGGCTCATCGGTCGCCTGTTCTTCAGTGTCATCCCTCATGGCCCTCCCTCTCCCCCTCTCTCTCTAACTCTCCCTCCCTCCCTCCCTCCCTCCCCCCTACCATCCTCAACCTCATTGATGTGTGAGAGCATTCGCACTACCCCACCCCCCATAGTAGGAAGGTAAAGAAGACGAGGAACACGACGAGGCTCTGAGTTGACCTGGCACACATAAGCGATACTGCAACACACCCTCCTGTCCCAAGTCCCCCCCCCTCTCATACGCCCCTGCCAATAATTCGTGTCACCACTGGGAGCGCCCCCTTGAAGGAAGAGCACCCCATGGGCTTGCCGTTTAGGCGAGGCTCCAGTTTTGAAGCGGAAGCGCCCTCCATTCGCATAGCTGATTGGAGTAGTGAGATGACTGGATAGTTAGGGGAAGGGCGAAGCGAAAACTTCAGCTGGACAACGCATACCCCTCCATCCCTGAACAGTTGTAATGTTCTGCACAGATCATGAGGTCTGAATGGGTAGCCACATGTGCGAAAGAATCCATCCTCAGTCCGCATGACTGATGCACACAGTTGAAGGCTGTGTCGAATAGCCATGACGATGTCTGAAGCGAGAGGCCCATGTTCAAAAGGAGTTCCCCTCGACCCACATAGCTGTTGAACAGTGTCGGGGAATGCGCGCGCCGCTTGAGGCGAGAATCACGGTGCTGCTGGAGACAGGAAGCGCGAATCGGCGGTAGGACAAAGCCTCATGTTGAAAACGACTGCTGCTTCAAACGCTGGAGACTCTGAGAACGGATGCGCGCAGCCCTGAGTCGAGAACCGCATGTTGAAGAAAACGGGCCACCCTCCACCCGTCGAGCTGTTGCAAGTCGGAACGCTCTGGGTCAAAAATCGCCAGGAGGCCTGAAGCAAAACGACCAGCCTGCCAGACCGAGGAGGAAGCATGTGCACGGAAGAAAAGGGTGAAGACTCCTTCTCCCCCCATCCCCCCAGGCAGCGCCTAAGGGGGGGTCACCACCAGGGGATTCGCCGCCTCCTCCTGGAGGAGCCTTGCAGGACGCACCCAGAACAACCAGAAACACCCTCGACGCCTAAAAGCGGTGACAAAAACTCATCGACAATCGACTCCGAACTCCCCCCCTCTGCTCTGCAGCCCTCGATCCACAGGAGGGGGTGGCGACCCCTCCCTGGCAGTGCCCGATGTCAAGGGGAGCGCGCCGCGGAGGGCGGGCGGCCTGGCCTGGCCGCCGGCGCGGGCGTGGGCGCGGCGGGTGCAGAGGGGCGGGCGGGTGCTGAGGCGGGCGGCAGGAGCGGCGGCGCTGGCGCGGGTATCGGCGCCTCGGGCTGTGGGACAGTGAGGACGAGGAGGAGGAGGAGGAGGAGAAGGAGGAGGAGGAGGAGGAGGAGGCACGGGGCGCGTCGACCACCCCCTCCGTGGTGAGTCCCTTCAGTGACGATGACGAGTTCGTTACCCTCGAGGCCTCCCCCCTGGCCCTCTGGAGCGAGGGGAGGCGGTCGTCACGGTGGGGATCGGTCAGGCCGCCCCTTATCCAAGGATCGAGTGTGTTGCCTTTCTCTTCCCCGCTGCCTCTGCCTGCCTCTGACCCACTTTCCCCCGCAATCGTATCTGCTCAAACATGTAACGCCCTTGGCCTTGGAGCTATGATTCCCTCGCCGCGCGAGTGCAAACGGATAATTAGCAGCGTCGAACACCAGCTGCTGCGCAGCATCCTCATCTACTCCGCCTACGCCCTCGACTACATACCGTACCTCTCGGATGTCAACGACGCCCAGCACATCCCCAACCTCTCGGACTTCAGCGACGCCCAGAACATCCTCAACCTCTCGGATGTCAGCGACACCCAGTAACTCCCAAATTACTCCCTAGACGTCAGCGACGCCCTCTACTCCAATTACCTCCAGGACGTCAGCGACGCCGACCTCACGTCAGCGACGCCCACTACGTCAAGTACCCTCAGGACGTCAGCGATGTCCACTACATCGATTACGATCAGCACGTCAACGACGGCAAAACAGCGACGGGTGACGCCTCCTCGGACAACTCTGTCATCATCCTACCCTCCTTGGGCAGTTCTTCAATGTTTCATAGACTCTGACAATATGACGGGCAGTTTCTCATTGGAGTGGCCAATCATTTCAAGCTGCAATGGGGACCCAGCTAAATGCAGGAGGTCAAGCTCTGGACCTCAGAGAGAACATAGAGGTATCACAGTTCATGAAATTAGGAAATTAGGATTAGTTCTAAAAGTGGTCGGCACTGCCAGGTCCGCAGCCCTAAACATGGATGAGGGCGACCTTCACCCTCCCAGGGACGACGAACTCGAAGGCGCCAACGAGAAGAAGCGGGACGGCAATATCTGTGGCATCGACAACGTGCTAGCCAAGCACACATCGAGAAATCTCTCGGACAAGAGCATCCAGTCCAGAAGGGAGAGACGCTAGAAATGGTCGTTGAGAGTACCTCACAACATCGCCGACGCAGCGAGCGCATGACCGACTGGCGCGCCAGGTTCGGACCCATACTGCGACAACTACGTGAACACAAGGTGGACCTCAATAAGCTGGGTGACATCGCGGGCTTGCTTCTCCTTCGCAACACAGGCCTCACCGCAAAGCGCTGCGAAAGGGACATCGGCAACCATCCCGACGAGCACTACAGCTTCGCCCGCATTCGTGGGCTACTGGTCCGAACGTTCACACATACCACGCTCAAGAGCGCACACACCATCCGCCACCACCACGTCCCTGGGCGTACCGATCATCCGGCTGGTGAGGACGACGTCCGTCTCAACCACAGCGCGGCGCACGCTCTACGAATGTGGTCGACGACTACGACGGGGGCGACGACGAGATGGACGAGCCCGACCACGAGGACGGAGAACCCCAGCGCGACGTGTAGGACACCGTGCGCCACGAGCTCGAAGCTTTCAGCACCGAGCAGGAGACGTCTGGCGCGGACGCCACAGAGATGTTCGACAACGAAGACACTGCACGTGTGGAGGCCGCCGCGGCGGAGCTCGCCGCTGTCCCCGAGGCCGCAGCCACGATCCGTGCTGCCCGTGGGACTATCAAAGACAAGGGGGGCGGCCGTGGCAGGAGGGGACCCGACCCCAAGCCCCGAGCAACACACAAGCGGAGACTACAGGGGCGGATCGACCAGGGCAAGAAATCCTCCATCTGCTGCATCTGTGGTGAGCCCGGTCACGAGACGGGGGACGACAAGTGTCCTAACCCAGGTGCTGGAAAGCTCGCTCCGTCAAAGGGACGAGGCAGGGGGCGAGGCCGTTACGACCGATCAGCTCAGATCACCGAGCTCGGCGACGGCCAGGAGCTTCAAGTACATCCTCAAGGACTTGTCACTCCGCCGTCCGAGGGACCCGAGACCCTCGAGTCCGAGCGGGTCGTTTCCGACCTTCCGAGTGTGAGCAAGATAAGCCTGAGCTTGGGTGTGACATACCAGGGACTCGGCTTGGTCGACGCCGCCTGCCTGTTCTGCATCGCCGGACAGCTGTGGTACGGGTGCTACAGGGACCTACTCACCAAGATGGGCCTCGCCGACTAGACCTTCCAAGAGCCCGAGCACGTACTCCTCCGATTTGGAGACAGGGACTGATGACGGCCCCCATCGCTCACTGCGACAAGGCGGGCAGGATCGTATTCAGCGTGGTCGATTACCAACCCCAAACATACTCATCGGCCGCGACTTCACCTAGCTGTCCAAGACCGACATCTATCTCCCTTTGGAAAAAGCATAACCCACATCGGGACGCAAGCCCAGAACAGACTGACAAGCAGTAGGGGGGGCACCGCAACAAAGCTGCAGCCTGAGACGTGGATCGCAGCGAAGGGCGCCAGTCAAGAGCTGAAGGACCTGAAGCTGCACACTACGACCAATACTGCTAATACTACTACTACTACTACTACTACTACTACTACTACTACTACTACTACTACTACTACTACTACTACTACTACTACTACTACTACTACTACTACTACGTGCGCGCAATGGTTGCCGAGGGACCTGCGCGTCGAGACATTATGTCTCGCCGCCCCGCGGTTCGAGCGCAAAAAATTGCGGCGCGCCACGGACGCGAGGGCCTGGGTCGCATTTGACTTTCTCCGTTAGCCAGGCCTCGATCTCAAGGGCGTTGGTGTCAGTGATGGCGAAAACCGAGCAGCTCGAAGAACAGAGCGCCAGCCTCATTGTTCTCGGCGGCCCTCTTGGAAGCCGCCGCAGCGGCCGGCGACGGCGACCTCTCCCGCTCGACGGCGCCCGAGGCGCGGCTCGACCCGCCTTGCTCCTGGGCCTGCGTTTGGGGACCCCCCAGACACTTGCCCGCAGACGCCAGCGCCGCCGCTGCCCGGGGGGGCCGCGCAGCTTTCGCCCCCAAGGCCGCGGACCCCAGAATCAAATCGATTCCAATACCACGGAGCAGCAGCTCGCTGTCGAGCGCTACCGCGGCAGATGTTTTGACGCATCACTGCTTAAGACTAAGACTTGCGATGCATTCGTAAACGTGCCGAATCAAACCCACCGCCGGGGCAGCGCGCTACGCTGGTGCCGTTTGTTTCTTTCTTGTCTGCTGGAACAGTCGCGCTTCTCGATTAAATGGCGCAGCGCCAAGATGGCCCGGCCAAAGCGCGAACAACTCGGTCGCTGCCCCCTGCGCGCTCGCCCACGCGCGCCCGCGGCCGGCTGGGCCCCCCGCCGCAGTCGGGGAAGCGCGGCTGCTTCCCGGCGGCCCGAGCCGCGCGGCGCAAGGCTGCGCTGTTCTTCAACGCAGAGAGCTCCGCATTAGCCGGGTGAGCGGCACGCAACCCGCAAATGGTGGCCGCGGGATCTCGTGAGCCAGCGACGGGGCTCAGCGACAGACCCCTCTACCTGGTCGGCGCCAACCGCGATCGCAGACCAAGCCCGCCTGATCAAGGCGGAGCTCGCGCAACACCTTGCGGAACGGACACTCGGCGTCTGCCTGGGCCTGGAATTCCAGGATGCAGGCTGCCCTCGAGAGGCCCTCTCCGACGGCGTGATTTGCGACGACGCCGGTGGTTCCGTCGACGGCGACCTCCTTGGCGACCTCGGCGAGCACCGCTGCGCGGGCGGCACCTTGCGGGGCGCAGGCGGCCGCCATCGCCTAGGCGATGAAGGCTTCGGCGCAATCCCCGGTCGCCACCCCCCCGGCGGGGCGGCGGTCGATCGGCAGGTCCGCCGACGGGCCGCCTGAACCGACGCGCGATGAATCGCGATCTCTCGGGGCGCCCGCAAGGGACGAACTGTGGGATGCAAGGGGGGGGCGCTGAAGAACTAAGAATTTTAACGAAAGAAATGTTCGGCCCAAGGGCCGACAGGAAGACCCCCGCAAAGCACCGCGCAGCGGGTTAGGGTGGTGGGCCAGGAGAGGGGGGTGAAGAAGAAAAAGGACGTGCACTGAATGCGGCGCGTTTTTTCCGCAGGCGCCGACGAGCGCAGCCAGCTCTGTCAGCGCCTGCGTTTCCGGCTCTTCGGAAGCCAACTTTAGAACGCGATGTGAGCTAGATCCGATGCTGGACCTTTCGACAGGCCCCGATCTGACGGCCGCTGGAAAAGGTCGGGCCCGGCGGGCCACGACCTGATCCCGCGCCAGTTGAAGAGCAACGACGAACGGAACCGCGGTGCCCCTGGGTCGCCAGGGCACAAGATGACAGCGCGCCGGTCTGCGTCATCAGCAACGGCAGAATTTCACAAGCGCGCGTTGGGCGCGCCCGCGCCGCGCGGCCGCGCAGCTCGACTTCGAAAGCAGAAGCCTCTGGAAATCCCCGCTCGCGGGCGAGGGCCGCCCTGCCGAGTCTATCTGCGAACGTACCCAGCGCGAACCGAACGCCGCATCTCGATTCGACACCTTGAAACAAGGCCTTGCGAAGCGCCGCGCCCCTGCGCTGATCCTCGCGCCAGGGGCGCGCAAATCCCAAGGGCGGGGGGCCCGCGTCTGCAACGGCGTTCCCCTCGCCAGGAATGTGCAAGGCCAGTGCCCAACATTGGGCCGCTCGCTCGGCATGTTCGAAGCGATGCGCCAGAGACTCGAAGGGAGGTATCCGCCCGTAGCGCACATTGACGCAATAGAGTGCTGCGGAATTTTCGAGCCTGAACAGACAGCGCCAACCTTGTAGGCAAGAGGATTCCCTGAGAAGGCACTGGAATGCAAACCGCAACTCCTTGTGATTGATTTCCCGGGGATTGCATTGCGCCTCCCGGGCTTCAGGATTCTCGGAAACAATTGGCGGAGCAACTGAAACCACCCCAGTTGCAACTGGGACTGCCTCGGCGGCGCAGAGGG